ACCTGAGGCACAGAGCAGTGTAGTGACTTTCTCAACAATGCCCTGGCAGTAATTGCTTGAGTTTGGGATCTGTAGCCAGGCAACCTGGTTCCCACATCCGCAGGCCTAACCACTACATATTCCTGTCACCTCTCCATTCAGAGAGAAGAAACCTAACTTAATTAATAACTCTTTTTCACTGACTCGGCCTCCCTCTGACAGCAAAAGAACTGCCTGTGTCATTGCAGGAAACTCTGAAGAAGACTCAGATTCCAGCTGCAGCAGGTACACCCTCAAGGCTGACGGGAGTCAGTGTCCCAGCGGGTCGGCCGGAAGGACAGTCACCTACACGTGTGAGTTCATCAGTTTCCACGGAGCCCGAGGCAGTAAGAACATAGAAGTGACATTCACGTCTGTGGGTAAGGACTCTTACTAGCATTTTCACCTCAAACCCAGGGCTGCCAATCAACTGGTAATATCCCTGAGCCATAAAGCAGGGCCTTCCCTGGTGGTGGGAGTGTGGTTGGGGTGAGTCACAGAATGGGGAATAGGAGAGGATTTCCCTCTGTGTCATTTCAATTCACACGAAATCTTCAGTATGGGGAAGGGTAGGCTGGGCAGCTGGCTGCAGAGAGGGAACAGCCTGTCTTGTGCTGGTGCAGAAAGTGGGCCAGGAAGTAGTTTCACACTTAGATTAGTCCTATTTAATCTTGAGTTTACAAGGAGGCTGATGCCCCTAGTTCCCCCCTTTCCCTTCCATAGTTTCATCCTCTCTCCCTTGAATTCTCCTTCCCTTAGCCTGGCTCATTCCCCACCGCCCTTCCCTCCCCTGTCACCTAATCTAGGACGCATGCTTCAGAAAGCTTAACAACCTGGCACTTTGAGGTTATTTTACAGATGTAACAAGTACTTTTTAATATTTCAATTAATTCAGCTTATTTAGGCCCCTTCAAAGTAGAAGTTCTTCTCCTCATATCATAAAGCATCATAACTTCAGCCCTCTCCGCAAAAAGAGGGCAAAGTTGTTTTTCCACCCATCTTAGAAAAACAAACTATGTAACTAAATCATGAACAAGGAAGGACTTATATATCAATGGACTTGTTACTCTTGCTCACATTTCCTGTTATTGTGACCTGGCATTTTTATAAAGAGCAAGATTAGGCTTATCTGAAAACATTATTGCTGTAGTTCATGGGTCTTTTGAGCAATGTGCAGTTGTCTGTAGTGAGCGCAGTTGTACATGGCACGGTTCCACGCTGGGACCTGTGTCCGTAGGTGAGCTATGGTGGTCTTAGGGGCATGTTTAGCCTCCGCTGAAAACCATTGGACTGGTACTTAGACCTCATCTGAGAATCAAGAGAATGGGATTCACAGGTCCAGGAGCCTTTGCCTTTTCTCTCTTGCAGAAGCCACTCCACCTCAGACAGCTATCCCGAGGTCACTGCAGCCAGTAGGGCACCGCCAGGGACACTTTAATCACGCTTTGTGACTTTGGGGCTGTATCTGAACACTTGAATCCCAACTTCTAAAGGGCACTATGGAGACCCCTGATTTTTCTGATGGTGCCTGAGGAAAAGATTATACACTGACTGGAAGAGCAGGCAGCCTCAGTGAACTCCAGGCACGAATTGTTCACCTAAAAAAGACAGAAATGAATGGCATTTTGAAATGTCAACCGTGTAAAAGATATGCTCTAAGAGCCAGAGGCAAAACTAGTGGGGCATTCATACAAGTTTTTATATTTGTAAAGGCCTTGTTAACATTCTCAGTGAATAAATCCTCATGAACCTATGAGGAAATTCTCAGAAAGAGGAGTAAATGTAGAGACTTGTGGTTAGGGTGCCTATATGGCCCCGTTCGCCCGAGACAGTCCAGTGATCCCTTAGCTGCTTAAATGTAGCTTCAGAAATCACTCTGCTTGACATAGACTCAGTGCTAGATCTAGGGATTAAGTGCTGGGGATACAAAGACACAGAAGAGAGAGTCCTGTTCTTGCGGGGCTCGCATTTTTATGGAGAAGAAATATAGAAAGAAAGAAATTAAAATACAATGTGGTGTAACTGAGACACTTGGTGTCCCTTGCGGTGTCGTGGAAGAGGTTGGAGGGGAGCTTGGGTTAAGTCAACATCCCTAAGTTTGCAACCTTTCGCCCTGCTGACCATCAGGAGATAAATCCAGCCACAAAGGGGAAGTGAAGGAGCTCCTGAGGCATGTGATGGAAATGAGTACAGTTCAGAGCACCACCAGGATCAGCCTAGAAACAAATAAAGCCCAGGAGCAGCAAGGTACCAATCCCGCGTTGACACAGTAGTCAGGACGGTCCCCGCTTCCTGTCTCTATCTTAAATTTCACTCCTGTGTTGATGGCACCAGAAAGACTAAACATTGTGCTTGTTGTCGGTTTTCTTTTGTCTGTTTTGTTTGCATTCTTTCAGCCAACTTAACAATAACCCCGGACCCAATTTCTGTTTCTGAGGGACAAAACTTTTCTATAAAGTGCATCAGTGATGTGAGTAACTATGATGAGGTGTATTGGAAAACTTCTGCTGGAATTAAAATACACCAGAGGTTTTACACCACAAGGAGATATGCTGATAAAGCGGAGTCAGTGCTGACAGTGAGGAGCTCGACAAGGGAGTGGAACGGTGAGTGAAAAGCCAGTACTACTCTGCTGCCAGGAGCCCTGGAAAACATGCGACAGCCCTTCTGGGGAGGATGTCATTATACCCATTTGACAGATGTAGAAACTGAGGCTCAGAAAGGATAATAAATACACCTAAGCCCCTATACCTTAAGTTGTAAAGCTAGGACTGGAACTTGTCTCTCTCATCCTAGAGCCCGTGCTCTTGCCATGAAGTTAAGAGGATTTTTATTAAAGGTACTTTTATCAAACTCATGGTAGTGTTTCACCCAATTGCAGCATCAAAAATCTAGGTAAAAGGTTTATTAGGCCTGGATCCAAAGGAAGAAACATTTTTATTTCCTATATTTCTCTGTACATTATTCATGTTGGGAAGATATGCAAATCTTGGGGGGGGCGTGAAGAGAATTTGATTGAGCTACTGTAATAACAGCTGACATTTATTGAGCCCTTACTATGTGATAGACACTGTCCTAAGTGTTAAAGTGTGTTAATTCATTTAAAACAGTACCACCGAGAGCATAATGCTATTATTATCCCCATTTTTGCAGATGGAAA